CACGCAGATGCCTAAGCGCCTATTTACTTGACATACTCGTTTATCGCATCTGCGATAATAGCATTGCGGTATGAAACTAACTTGAAGAGAGAAAAAAAAACAGTAAAAACAACAACAACAACAACAACAACAACAACAACAACAAACAAAACCAAACAAACAAACAAACAAACAAACAAACAAACAAAACCAAACAAAACAAAAGCAGAAGGATAGACGATAGAAAGCATTGACGTGACGTGCCGTTTTAGCAGTCTTATATAAACATAAGCATAAATTAAAATTTGTGAATAATACCTGCCGAGTGAAATTCCAAGGATAATACCGCGTAATTAAATATAATCTATAAGATTAGAATTAATAATTTAAGTGACGTACCTACTCGAATGGGGGCTTTGAGATACCCGGGGTATTGGCTGGATAACATCGTTAAAAATTACTTCCCTCCCGCCCTTTCCCACTTAATCGGATTGCTTAATAATTATAATTTTTGGCATTCTAAAGAGCCTCTTGAATTGAAAATTGGCATTAATATTATAAACGAGTATTGGAACGATCGATGGATCAATACTGAATAACGTAGCGCTAGCATTATGAACGACGAATTAACGATTGTACATTATTAAGTGAAGAATGACTTGGGAGCGTTTAAAGCTTGTCTATAATGTCCAAATATAATGGACAAACTGATCAAATTAACGCTCGAAAAATAGCAATCCCGTTAGAGGTATGAGAATATTGGCAAATGCATGTGCTAAACAAACAAATGCAAGATTTTCTTGACTTCTATGAGACTTTCTAAATCAAAGTGTAGCACTATATCTGTGTGCACGATATTTCAGATGTGTTGAATCACGGGTGGTTAGTGGCTCGAACGATAATGTCAATTATTCTGGTCGTGCAGTGTTTGCATTGAAAAATAATAAATAATAATACAGAGAAATTACGTTTGTCGTGTGACGATCGTCGATGATTGTTCTTTGATAAAACTTGATCGATCAAAGAATATTCTTAATTTTGGGAGGACGAGCGTACATTAGTGCTTAACTAAATTATCGCTACTATTCGAGCGTAATTTAATTAGTGATAAAGTGAATCTTTATCTGCTGCATTGTGCCTGTATCCAGAAAACCAAGCACTAACATCCATTGAGAGCTTAAAAAAGTGTGCAGCTCGTGTATAATCTCGAATATTCGTTAGAGTGTCGATGTTGAAAATGCAAACGGTGATGTGAGCTGCGCCATTAAGCACTGCTATTCATTATCAGTAGGTTTAGATGACATCGTACACACATATCCGAATTAATGCTTTCAATATTCATGTCCGCTTCTTTTCATACGTATACATATATATATACATATATATATATATATATATATATATATATATATGTATGTATTAACGATATTGTTGCAGAATTTAAAAAAAAAAAAAAAAGAAAAAAAAAAAAGAATACATAAAAATATGTTTCAATTTTATGATCCGCCGTGTTGTTGGACACTATACGTCTAAATTGAAGATCCACTGCGCATTGTGTAATGTAGATGTATAGGGTGCATTAACATTTCGTGATTTGTATTTGTATTTCGTTAGAATGTGAAAATTCGTAACGAACAATTGCTAATTGTTAATAATGCATCTTTTATAAAGTGATGAATACATATTATTTATTCTATGGATCTTCCATCACTGGATACCATTAATTTACAAACGCGTGTCATGTGCATTGACCTCTTCTTATCGCCGATTATTAATAACAGGGTTGATTTTGGGATGATAGAAAGTACGGTGACAGCACTATCGCTAAGTTTTCACGCGCAATCGCACTTTCACATGCAACTCGTGCATCAATTTATATCGTTGGTGAGACGAAATTCGGGGAAATTCGAGCTTACGCGTGCGCAATTATTCAGGCTATAATAGAATGAAGCGTAATCGCTTTCACGGAGATTATATTTATCGATAACACACATTGTGATCAACGATGATATGTATGATAGATCGCGCCTCGGATAACAAAATTAACGCATTAAAGTCGAAGGGAGAAAATGCACGAGAACGTAAGATGATGTGAAGTCGCAGTTCACATTGACATTCGCAAAGGCATCGTCATTTTCTCAATATCTGAAGTTGATACGAGTTAAATGCAAATTAGCGATAAACAAAATTGTGATAAAAAATATTTTATCCTTAGCGTTCGGTCAACCGTATCAACAAAAGCATTATATTTTCAAAAGTCTATATTAATTAGTCATTAGGTGATTTTCTTGAACAACGGGGGATGCATGTTTTGTTGTTGTTTTTTTTTTTTTTTTGTTTTTGTTTGCAACGGGTTGGATTATATGCTGAGGAGGTCATTGTAGTGCATTTTACAATTGTAAATTTGTGAGAGTAAATTCTTTTTATTCTTAAGATTGGGATTATTACATCGATTAATAAGTCTCTACGAGACTCATTTTCATTTAGAAGTAAATCGTTAATCTTAATATCTTATCGAGCGTCTGTGTCAGTGTCTGCAAATCTTGTAATTTAATCCGGAAATGTCAGACGTTTCAACTATTCCCAATACGTTTATAACTCTCGTATTTTCAACGCCTATCCAATGAGATTTAATCTGATATTCTGATATAATTTCATTATGAATCTGTCTTGTCTAGCGATGGAAAAACGAATTTTATATTAATCGCATTGTATTTATCTTAATAAATGATCCTTTGACATAACGCAATCTTACGGAGGATCATGCCACCGAATTTTTCGTAACAAATCTCAATTGAGAGCGTTCGACCTTGTTGTTGTTGTTGTTGTTGTTTTTTTGCGAAACCTCATCCATAATCGGAAACAAAATTGCAATTCCAATATACAGGCTGACTGCTCGTAATTAATTCGCGAGTGAAACTTTGTAACGCAATTACGATGATCGTTCGACTAAGTTCGATGTTCGTTTTATACAGCAAACTGCAAAATCATAGTAAAACTCAATAGTAATTGATCAAAGAAAATTATTGACAACTCATTTACCCCGTATCCTTAATATTAGCAAAAACAGCGAAGCACCAATAAAAGTGCTTTCAGCATCTATAAAGTACTTGGCTCACTATTAAAAAAATTACCATTCAAGCACCTTGTCAATCTTTGGGATCGAAGTTTTTCGCTCTTTCTCTCTCGCACCGTATACGTTTGTTTTTGCCCTTGCCCATTACGAGAAAAATATCTTAAAAAATACGAAGCAGAGAAATCTTTGACTAAATAATCATAACGAGTGGCAATTCGAATCGTTCCACGAATTATGCAAACGCGTAAAATTTAAATCGAGGATAGTTGTTGAGCGACACATCGCACAGTCAATAACAAACGAAATTACTGCCAAAATCCGTGCTTATCCATAGCGTACAAAAGGTCATATCGCATTCTTAAAAAAGCGTTTCTTGTTCACACTCATTATTAATTCGATTTTTATTAATGGCTACTTACGATTTTCCCTTTCCGGCAAGCGACATTTTATTTTCAGGCTTACAGATTGCTTTCAAAATTTGCAAAACCCCCGTTAATCTTTGGACTCTCCAAATGAGCGCGTATCCATTCAATATTAATATAATAATATTAATGATAATAACAATGATCATCGTTCACATCATTATCGTCATCAAAGCAACGAGGACGACGACGACGAGGACGACGACGACGAGGATGACGACGATGACAAGTTAATCAACGATAAGGAGAAACGCAGTTTTAATAAATGTGAAATAGTGGGGGAAGGAAAGCAAGGCAAAAGTAGACGCATTCGCAAATCGCATGCAGCACATTCATCGAATTGCTCCTGTGCGTGATTCGCCTACTGGTAGACTAGAAGAAGGGGACGACGAATCATATATTACGTACATATATAGTTAACGCTCGACATTGTAAAAACAGCCGCCGGAGAAACAGAGGTGGCCGCGCGGTAACCAAAAGCAAAGAACGCTAGGAGAGAGAGAGAGAGAGAGTGAGAGAGAGAGAGTGAGAAAGAGAGAGTGAGAGTGAGAGAGAGAGAGGGGAGGGGAGGGGGAGAGAGAGAGAGAGTTAGAGAGAGAGAGAGAGAGAGAGAGAGAGAGTTAGAGCGAGCGAAGGGGTCGAGGTTCGGAGGAAGGGAGGGTCGGCGAATAGAGGGAGTGCGCGAATGGACGAAGGAGGAAGTGAGAGTGAGAGGGCGATAGAGAGAAGTGAGGAAGGAGGGGGGGGGGATGGAGCGAGAAGACTCGAGTGGGTGGGTGGGAGGGAGGTAGGGAGCGAGGAGATACGAGAAGAGACCGCGAGACACTTCCGAATGTGTTTCGGCACTCTCTCGGCGCCGCGCGTACGACGGAACTACGAGAGCGAAATAGCAGCTGATTTTCAAAGATGGCCGGCCTTCGCGATACAAACAAATAAGAGCAGTAGGACTGGCGAGGAAGCAGCCGTGGGGAGCCATGCGACGGCGCGAAAAAGAGCCCGAGGCCCCCCCAGCGATTACGAAGATAAGGTAAGAACCTTTGGGAGCCGCGTTGCCCGGGCAATAAGAAGGAAGGATCGCTGCCCTGCGAAACCAACACCTGTCCACTCCTGACCTGCTCCAAGGGGTCCAACCGACCTTCCCAGCACGTTGCCGTTCGTAAACGATGCGCCCGCGGGTGATCCGTCTATCAATGTCGTCTTGTCGGGATCTTCGGGCACCCTTTGCTAGCGCGGCCAGGCCTACGTGACCGAAGGGCTACGACGAGTACATCGGGCCGGGGAGCTGCTGCTGGTTGTTGGGCAAGGCGTAGGCGGGGAGGAGATGGCGGCGCGGGTGATGACGGCAGCGCGACGAGGTGGTGGAGGTGGCGGTGGTGATGGTCGTGGTGGTCGTGGTGGTCGTGGTGGTGGTGGCGGTGGTGACGGTGGTGAAGG